TTACACAGTCTAGTCTTTATTTCCACTTTCAGTTTTCTCACACCAGAGAAACAATGACATATTTAAATGTGTATCAAATTTATTTTACTTTAGGGTATGTTCTCAAGGTTCATCCATTTAGCTATAAATGTCTGAAGCTCCTCCTCCTTTATGTCAGAGTACTACTCCTTTGTATTAAAAATAAACCCACATCTTTATCTACTCATCAGTTGATGGCCATTTGGGATGCTTCCAAGATTTAGCTATTAGTGATATAGGGACACCCATGTTTATGGAGGACACCCATGTTTATAGATTTAGTTATAGAATAACTAAATCTTGGAAACATATGGTGGTATGATGCTTCTATTTCTTTTGGGGAGATACCAAGAAGTGGAATAGCTAGGTCAAATGGGACCTCTAATCCTAGTTTTTTGAGGAATCTCCACACTGATTTCCACAGTGGTTGCACCAGTCTACACTCCCACCAACAGTGGAGAAGGGTTCTGTCTTTCCCTATAGCCCCTCCAGCATTTTATTTGACTTATTTTAAATCTTTCTTTTTTCTAATACTGTATATGCATTCAATGCTATAAATTTGCCTTTATGCACTGCCTTTGCTGCATCCCCTAAATTCTGAAAGGATGTATTTTCATTTCCATTTAGTTTAAAGTATTTTAAATGTCTCCTAAGATTTCTTCTTCAACCCATGTATTAGAAGTGTGTTGTATAACCCCTAAGTGTTTTGGGGTGCTATGGTTTGGATGCATTCCCCAAATTTGTTATTGGAAATTTGATTCCCAATGTGAAGGTGTTGGGAGGTCAGGCCTGGTGTTTGGGTCATGGAGATGGAGCCTTCATGAATGAATTAGTTTGGTTAACATGGGAGTAGGTTAGTTCCTTCAAAAGTGGGCTATTTTAAAGCTGGTCTGCCCTTTGCTCTTTATCTTTTCTGCATGCGCCTCTTGCCCTAATTCCTTTCTGCCACTAGATAGTGCAGTACAAAAATATTTTGGACCAAAATCAAAAGTATCAAGTCTCCATGCCTTGGGACTTTCCTATCTCCAGAATCTTGGCCAAATCAACTTCTTTTCTTTATAAATTACCCAGTCAATGGTATTCTACTAGCAACAGAAAACATTTATAGGTGGGGTTGTGGGTTTCAGCTTTCTGTTATTGATTTCTAGTTTGAGTCCAGTATGGTCAAATTACTTCAATGTTCGTTTCTCTAAGATAGTCTTCATGCCTTCACCTTTAAAAGATAGAATTCAGAATTCTATGATATTTTTTCTCTCAATATTTTGTTGACTTCAAAAGAATCAAGCTATAAGCAAAGGAAGTATTTACATAAGAACAGAAGTCAAAATGTAGGGACACAACAAACAGCAGACCAGGTTGTAGTCTAAGAAGGGAAAGGGAGAGGGGTCCATAAGGAGCCAAGCCCAGAGGTAGTCTGATCTGGCAACACCTGTGTTGAACCCTGTTGGACTGGCTGATGGAGCTGCAGGTAGAAGGTTGCAGAGAAAGTTGATTTGTGGCTGTCAGCAGACTTTTGGAATCAGCTGATGTTGGAAAATCAGGACTTTTCTTATTACACTACTTAGCTACACTACTCACCTTTCCAAATGTCAAAGAGACAAGGTGGAGCCTGGCTTTATAAGCAAGTTCCACAAGTTAAACATTTTACTTGTATAGTTTCAAAGGAGAAGTCAGATGTAATTCCTATCTTTGTTCCTCTATATTTAATGGGTTGTTTTTTCTCCTTTCAAGAATTTTCTTTTACTGTTCATTTTCTGCAGTTTGAATTTAACATGCCTTAGTACAATTGTTATTGTTCGTGTATTTCTTTTTCTATTTATCTTGTGTGGTGTTCTCTTAGCTTCCTGAACCTATGGTCTGACATCGATTTGGAGAAATTCTTAGTCATAATCACTTCAAATATTTCTTGTTTATTTCTCTCTTCTTTTTCTAGCACTGTCAGTATATGTGCATTATATTTCTGTCGATATCTCACTCTTCTTGGATATTCTCTTCTCTTTTTTTCAGTCTTTTTTCTCTTTGCTCTTTAGTAGCTGCTAAGGGTGCATCCTAATGGTCTGAGAGTCTTTGTTCAGTTATGTTCAGATATGCTCTGAACTCAAGAGCACATCAAAGACAACCTTCACATGTTCCAGTGCTTTCAATCTCTAGCATTATTTGCTTCTTAGAATTTCCATCTCTGTTTACATCACCCATGTGTTCTTGTGTGTTGCCTTGCTTATTTATCAGATCCATTAGCATACTTATCATAATTGTTTTAATTTCATAATCTGATAATCCCAACATCACTGGTACATCTGACTTTTGTTCTAGGGCTGGTATTGTCTCTTTAAAGGGTGTTTTTTGCTTCTTAGTATGTCTTGTAATTTTTTGTTGAATGTCAAACGCGCTGGACTTAACAAAAAGAACCAAGTGAATAGCATTTAGGGATGGGGTGGTAAGGTGTGGGAAAAGGAAATGTTGTATGGTGCTCTGATTAGGTCACCATCTTTTGAGGGAATTGGACCCAAACCCTTTGCACTGAGCTACATCCCTAGATCTCTCTCATCTCAGTGAGTCACTAAGTTGCCCAGGCTGGGCTGGAATTTGTTATCCTCCTGCCTCAGCCTCCTAGAGTGCTGGGATTACAGGCCTGTGGCACCATGCCGAGACAGATCTCAGTCTTTTAGTGAGTTTGAAGTGCTTTTAGCTGTGAACTTCACAAGAGCTTCTCAGTCCCCAGCCTTCCCTCTTTCTTAGTGGGAGAAGATCACTAGAAGGGGCTCAAGTTGGGTATGTCTCTTCTCCTAGGTCAAGTTAAGCTATGCTAAAACCCTAATAATTTAGGCTCTGACTAAAAGGAAAAAAATGTTTCTCTTAGGGGCAGGCCTTGTGTTTCCAAATGGTTCCCTTCCCCTTCCCCTTCTGGAAGCAGGAAAGGTTTATTCTCCAGCAGGCTGTGAGAATCTGGTAGAGTTCCTGGGAATGAACTCAAAAAAGTGTGGAGCCCCCTAAGACTGGGTCTGTCAAGATTCCAGAGGGAGAAATACATTTGAGGGGCTAGACAGGAATGAACATTTGTCTAGTAGATGAGATACTAGGTAAGCCATGGTTGCTAGAGCCTGGAAGAACTTTTCTATGACTTTAGAGGTTGAGGTTTTCTATCAGTCACAGCAGTGACTTCCAAACTTGGGTTTGGACTTGGGGGAAGGACGTAAAGCAGACCTTTCATTTTGCTTCAGGGGAGCCAAGGATTTAGCTCAGTGGCACTACACCTGCCTTGAAAGCACAAGGTCCTGAGTTTGAGCCCCGGTACCGAGAGAGAGAGAGAGAGAGAGAGAGAGAGAGAGAGAGATCCATCATTTTGCTTCAAGGGAGTTTAAGAAAACTAAGTGCTTAAAAAGAATTTTTTGTTTGAGGCCAAAACCCTGGCTGCCATCACTACATCTACTTGGTTTGCTGTACTGAACCTTGTTACATATGTTCTTGAGGAGATGGCAAGGCAGATTTAGGGGATTCCTTCTTCACTAGGTCATATCCCAAAATACCAGTAGCCATTTCTAAACCTTAAAGGCCAAAACACTTGATCTCAGCCTGGACCTGTGTTTCTCACCAGGGTCTCCAAGTTGGCCTTTGGCCCAAGACAATTTTTTTATTATGCTACAGTGTCTTGAGCACTGCAGTGACTTTAGCAGTATGCCAATGAGACCTACCAGCCGTCACAACAACCCAAGATATGCTTCCCACAATCCCACGTGCTTTCTAGCAGGTGACATTCCTCCTTTCTCTGTCCCATGAGGAGCTCTTCCTGTTTGCTCACCTACAACATCTGCTGCTCCCATCTTGAGCTTTCCTAGATTCTTGCTTGGCAAGAGGTTCCAGTTATTAAATACTCTCAGTCCTAGAACTTTACAATAGGTTCCCAAAGTGCTCATATAAAGTGCTCATATGAGAAAGATTCAGAATATAATTGAATCTTAGATGATTTATGTCAGTGCACTGGAGTCTTGTAGAAACTAGAAGCAATGTTATGAATAGTGCTCTCTGTTCTGCAACTCCACCTCAGAGAACTAATAGAATGCTGGTGGTCAGTTCATGGTGAAGAGTAAGAGGATGTGTCCTAATGTTTCTAATCTGTGCCCGAGGACAGTTAAAATAGGCAGGAAATTCTGACATTGATTTGGTGGTTGTGGCTAAGTCTTTAAAGAGTCCATTCTCCCGTTGGGTTAGAAGTTATTACTCTATCTCACATCTGTGCGGGAAAGAAAATAAAATGTGCATTTATGTATATATGATAAACTGTCTTCCATTGCATTAATTATCACAAAAATTTCATTAGGCATTTGTGAATCAGACACTGTGCTAGTTCCTTTGAATGCGTTATTTCATTTGATGCTCACAAAACGCCTTTCGGTGGAGCAGCACTGTCATTCCCGTGGAGCATTTGCAGTAAGAAAATGAAGGCTTAAGAAAGTTTCTTACTCGGGAAAGTGATAGATTTCCAATCCAGACTATGAAACGCCTTCTATAATTTCACCAGACTGCATGGATCTAGTGTGAGTCTATCCAAAAGATATTTATTGGGCACCACCATGTGCCGAGCCCTGCACCGGGCAAACCTAGGACAAGCTGTCCCTTCTGAAAGGATGTGTGGATAAATGTATACGTGCACAGATAGGAGAATAAAATAAACGATGGGAAAACGCATGGAGTAAACGAACGAATCGCGGCACGAGGGGATCAGATGGAAGAGTAGATGGAAGAGGCGGGCAAGTGGTGAGCGAAGGAGAAAGTAATCAAGTGGATGAATGAAGTGGTTTTGAGCCCGCGCTTCCTGAAGTCCCCGCGCCTGGTGCCAGGCGGTGGGCAGACGGGCGGCTATTCCACACAGTACGGTAGGCGAGGGCGCCTCCTCCCCAGTTCCTTTCCTCCCCCACCCACCTCCTTCTAGCCGCCGCCGCCGCCGCGCGCCCTGACCCAGTCCCCCGCGGGCGGGCGGAGGAGGCGGCTGCTGCGCGCTGCTGCGCTCGCCCCGCCGTCCCGAAGCCTCGCGCGCCGCGATGCGCAGAGGGGTCGCACCGCACCATGAGGCTCCGCAGCAAGGGGGCGGCGCTGCTCCTGCTCGCGCTGGCCGCGCTGCTGCTCGCGCTGCTGTCCCTTCGCGCCGGCCGCACCGAGGCCCCCGCGCGCCCCGCGCCTCCCGCGCGCCCCGCGTCCGTCCCGCAGCGCCACCCTGCGCCGGGCCCCGCGCGCTTGCCCGGCCCCGGCGACCTCCCCGGGGTTCCGGGCGCGCGGAGGCGCCGGCCCCAGCGTCCGCGCCTCCGAGCCGGCCGCCTGGGCGCCGCGAGTCTGGAGAAGTTGGCGAGGTGAGTCGTGGCAGTCCAGGATCCCAGCCGGGGAGCTGTGTCTCACTCCTGTCCTCACCCCCTGCGCCAAATCCTGGGGAGGTTTGGGCTGCGAGCCCCCCAGGGATTGCCCACGTCTCTTCCTTGCCCCGCCGGAAACGAGAACCCACCTTCGTGGAGCCCTCCTGGAGGCTCAGTGCTGAGGGTAGTCACCGACCTGGTTGAAGAAATGTCAGGGAAAGTGGTTTGCATATTACACTCTGTAACTGTCAAGGCAAGACGTCTTTTTGCGTTCTTGCAGTCATGCACCCTTTGTTTAATTTTTCAAAAGCCATCACGGAGCAAGAATGCTTTATCTCATTCTTGTGTTTCGCTGGAGAATTCATGCTGAAAGCAGATCTGATTGAGTTGGGAAAGTTAGCTGTTTACCAAGGACTGGCTGCCGTTGACTACTCCACCCCACCCCAGTACCCCGTGCTCACCACAGAAGAGGCATTTGACTTAAGCTCATTAAAAAAGAAGTTTTGTTCTTGAAAGGAGCGACGCGTGGCACGGGAAGGAGACCGGGGCTTTCCTGTTCCTTCTGCTTCAGGCTCCAGAACGGACCAACCGTCTTAGAAGGAAAACATCTTAACCTCCGACATTGTGTTTGATACTTTTCTTTCCCTACACAAAGCCTAACTCGCTTGGGCTTTTCAGCGGAGCGTTTTTCTCTTTGGCCTTAGGGTTGCTGGAGTGCCCGCAGGTTAGGGATTTGCGTTCCTTTCCTTCGTTGTGGAGAGCTTTTTAACAGTCTCCTTTCTTGTAGTGGGTCTGTTTCCTCTGCTCTTTCAAAGCTGTTGTTTCCAGCCGCCCTTGCAACGTCTGCATTTGCTAGGCTCCTTAATTACTTGAAGCGAGTTGAAGAATTCTTTCTGAGCATATGACTAAGTCTGTTGTGGCGCTTTTACTGTGACTAAGAGAAAAGACGTGAAACCTCAAGTAGTAGCTGTGTCGGTTTCTGTTCCTCTTGTACCTCATCATAAATATGCAGATGAATGCTGACAAGTTTGAGGTGGGAAACCCCCCAAATGATCTACAGGATCGATTTTAAGCATTCGCAATGCATGTGCTCTAAATAAGGATATTTTTGTTAGGAATTTAATAAGATTTTATCGCCTATATCCTGAGGTTTCTTATATTTATACTGAGGTTTAACTGCAAGTTTACTATGATCTCAAAGTGTGCTGGGACAACTTGTAAGATAATAACTGACATCGTGTAACACAGTTTACCCAGTGCCAACAGCAGTATGTAAAAGTAATTGTGGTTAACATTTACATATGTTGTGCCATAACCCTCTGATAGTAGTTCTCAAATCTTGTGACAGAGGATCAGCTGCACCAGCATCATCTGAAAACTTGTTCAAAATGCAGATTCTTGGGCCGCCCAAAGTCAAAAGCCACTGGAGTGGTATCAACAGTCTGTGTTTTTACCCTCACTTCTTTGTTTCTGATAAACACTAGTGTATCAGAAGAACACCAGGAGAAGCTGTTATGTGGCATAAGCATTCTTATTATCCCCATTTTACAGATGGGGAAAGTATTGTATAAAGATTAGCCATTGGCCCAATGCTGGTCGAAAGCATGTGGTAGATGGGGCTAAAGAGCCAGGCAGTGTTGGGTGAGGGTGAGCTCTTGCTGCTGTGCTGAGGTTATACAACACTCTTAGCTGTGATTCAGAATCTTACTGAGATTTTTCTAAAGAAGCTCCATAGATGTTTGGAACTGTCTCATTCTTCAAGGTGCTGGGAACATTGGGGCTGCATCTTCTTGTCTCTATCTGAACAAATTGGCTCTGACTGGGAGATCATGAACAGAATCCAAACGGATGCTTTAGAGGACTCTCCACGAGCAAAGAACCCTCAAAGCCATTTTTCTTTTGAACATATCTCTTAAATGATCATGGAAATCATGCTCAATACTATAGGAATAAAGAACAAAATGTACAAACCTAGAAAAGAATAAAAGACAAAAAGCCCAGGAAATCTCAGGCTCCAATGCATAAACAGTTGACATTTTCTGGAGATTATTTATTGTTTCTTTTGCTACCCAGAAATGACAACAAAAGATTTTGAAGCAGAGAAGGAACGGGAGGAAAGATCTCTGCATAGACTCCTTTATTGCTTTTCTAATTCTGCCTTGGTTAAATTTTTGTGGTTGAGGAGGAATTTCATTTAGGGAGGGAAGAGAAGGCCTCCTGGCTTCAGAAAATGAGTGCTTTAATCTCTTCATGTGGCCAGAATCCAGAAGAGATGGAGGCTACGTGATCTCATTTCTCAGGCCTGGAGAGGGTCAGCCTTGTGGTTGGAGTTAGCAGAAAGCTTGGATTTGGACAGGACACAATCCAGCACCTGCTGGCCATGCACAGCCTGGGCTGCCTGGCCTCCCCAGGGTCCTGCTTTAAGTGAAGTTCTGCCACGTCAACGCGGGAAACAGCCCTCTCCCTCCACATCTTGTTTTCATTTTGGAGAAGTTTCCAAGGACTTGCCTGTTAGCAGGCAGACCCTACAATTTTCTAACTAGTCATTTGTATGCAATCTGTTCTGCAGTAGCCTGCTTTTCTGTAAATATAAAGCCAGGAGGTAAAGTCTGAGGTTTAAGGTCTAGGGTGGGGTCTGAAAACGGACACCATATTGAAAGGAGCAATCCCAATGCACAAGAGAAATGAAATCTTCCTTCTGTTTTGGTTTATTGGTGATTTATACCTGGCTGACATCCAAAATGAACTTAATACAACATAAGTAAACAATTCATATACAATAAGGCCATTGAAATAAAGAAAAGTCATAAAGAGGAGGGGGAAATATGAACTGTTGGCCAAAAACTGAAACCACTATTGTTGGGAGGATTAAGTGTTCAATTTAGCTCTAAGCTTCCTGGCATCTATGTCAAAAAGAGAGCCATGACTGGCTGCCTCATTGTCACTAGATAATAAGAGGAAAGGTTTATCAACAGATGACTGTTTTTGATGAAATTGAATTCTAAAATAAGAATTTTTACTTGAGAATGGATTTTAGACCTTAAAAGGACCATCTTTCCACTTTGCTTCTAAAACCTCTTTGAGCCTACATATGGAAAAGGAAGTTTAATGTGTCTAATAATCAACACAATGTAAAAAAGAATGTATAGCATATGGAGTCTAGAAAACCGAGTTCATTCCACCTTATTTTCTTCATTTGTAAAATGAACAAGTCCCAGGCAACTCTTCTCAGATCTCTTCCAGCTCTGACATTTGATGATCCTGTGATGAGATCATCAAGTTTAGCGGCAAGATCCCAACAATGACTATTGCATAGCGCTTTGTGGTGTGTCTTGCGAAATCAGTTTCTCATTTCTTGGCTCCATCCTGGAGCTCTTATTGATTACCCAACACCAACCCTCTCCTGAACTGTATTCTTTTTCTTCTGCTTTGGCCTGGATATTGCTATTTTCCCTTAACATATGGTTTCTCAGGGAGGCGTAGGCTACCTCTAGGCCTGTGGTATTCCTTTGTGCCTGTATTCCACAGTTGTTCAGCAAGTGTTTATTGCACATACCCTCTGCCCAGTGCTCACTGTACAATGGTGAATGGAGTTGCTGCTCTCCCAGAATTCGGGTGGGGTGGGGGAGACAATACAGAAACATGTTACACTTGGCTGCCTCCCCAACTGCCCCAGTAGGAGGAAGTGCACATCCTCGCTCATCAAGAGACACCATTTCCTGTAGTTCCCTTTGGTCTCTGAGATAAGTCTTAGCGGTTCAAGCCTGAACAAAGGTCTCAATAAACAGGCATGACGTTGTGCAACAAAATGCTAAATCTGCAGCCATGCTATGATTAGCTCATTACCTCAGAGGACAGTGGTCTCTAAATGTTGAGTACCACTACGATGTTATATAGCTATGGGTCTTGATTCTCTTCACACTCGTTGTTGTTTGGGTTATAAGCCCCTTTTTTGTCGGTTAGACCAAGAGTCCCCTCTGTCACTCTCCCCTACACCCAGTCAGTAAATCCAATCCCATCCTTTCTACCACTTCCCGCGGTAAGCCCTGAGGTAGCGGTCTTTTGGCTTTGTGTGGGTCTACTCTAGCGCCCTCTAACGTCCATTTTCCACACAGCTGCTGACGTAATCTTTAATAGGTAGATTAGGTGAAATCACTTTGCTGGTTAACTCCTCCAAGGACTGATTTCCTGTCACGCTGAAAATAAAACTCAGTTTCTCAGTGTGTCCTTTGAGTCCTTTGCATGATCACAACCCCATTTAGTCCCCTGACCTCATCTCCTACCACTCCCCATTCCGTCACTCTGTTCAGCCCCCATACAGCCTTACTTGGTTAGCTCCCCGACCCTTCCCTTCAGGTCTGTCCTCAACTCTTCTCTCCTCAGAGGAAACCTCTTAGGAGTCCCACCCAGCAATCAGGTCCCTTCCCATCATCCTCTGCTCCCTCTAAACCTTATTGCTCAGTATTTTGTTTTTGGTAGTGGTCATCATTAAAGGAAATATTGCATTTTATTTGTGCCTCCCCACTCCTGTGCACATCCTGCCTCATCCTGCCTCTATCACTGGGCCCTGGGATGATCTCATAGTAGATACTAAAGAAATATTTTTGAATGAACTAATGGATGGATGCAGCACCACCTTGTCCCTACCCTATGCTAAGACTTTTCTTGTATTATTAAGTTACATATTATTTAATAATGTTCAAAATAATTACGTGCCTCTTAGCAAAATAGTGAGGATCTTTAGTAGTAACAACATTAAGAGAGAGGGATATTTTTCTTTCTAATAGATTTTGTTCTTTGGAATGGATTTATATTTTATCTAAAGTACAGACAATTTCCAATACCTAGTACCTAGTTTCCTCTATCATTAAATCTTTCACTGGTGTGATGTACTTGTTGCAACTAATGAAGTAATAGTGATACATTAAAGCTTATTCATATTTCCCTAGTTTTACCAAATGTCCTTTTTCTATTCCAGGGTCCCTTTCAAGAAGAGGTAT